GTCGAGGCTGCGGTGGCCGGGAGCGGCCCCTGCACTCCAGTCTGGGCGACAGAGTGAGACTCCAACTCAAAAAAAAAACTCTGCCTAATACCCTCGAGACCCGCAGAAGTCACTGCACGTGTCACAGCCCGTTCCTCTCCGTGGCCGAGTCAGCCATGGGACGCGTGTACTAGCATATTCCTTCCCGCTGAGTGTGAAACATCCCTTCCACTGTGGAGGGTCATCCAGACTGTTTTCCACTCTGACTTTCGCAGCAAGTGCTGTTGAGAACACTTGTGTGTGGGCCCTTGTGTGGGCGTGTGCTTCACTTCTCTGGAGTAAATGCCAACGAGGATGGTGGCTGGGTTGCTTGGTGAATGGATGTATGTTTAGTTTTTCACCTGCCGAATTATTTTTCAGACAATCTTTACTATTGTCATTTTCACCAACAATGTGTGAAAAGTCTGATTTCTTCACATTCTCACCAGCATTTGGGGTTTCACTGTTTTTTATTCTTTTTTTGAGTTGGGTCTCACTCGGTTGCCCAGACTGGAGTGCAGTGGCCGCTCCTGGCCACCGCAGCCTTGACCTGCCGGGCTCCGGCGATCCTTCCGCCTCAGCCTTCCGCGTAGCCGAAATTGCAGGCACGCGCTACCACGCCCGGCTGATTTTTTGATTTATTGTAGAGATGAGGTCTTGCCGCCCAGCTTTTTTTTTTTTTAAAGAAAATTAGAGAGCAAATTTATTTAGTGGAAGTGGATCATCATAAAGATCTTCATCCTGGTTGTTCCTACACCGAATAGCATAGCATGGGGGGGAGGAGGAGGAGGAGGAGGGGTTGGTCTTGCCATCTCAAGGCATGAATGGAGCTCGCAGAACTGGAAGTTGCTCAGTGAGTGAATATAAGTCTAATGATGCAAAGAATGCTTAGCTTCAGGGTTGCTTGCAAATCATCCCTCCTCACTCTTTTCTTGAAAATTATTTCTGGCCGGGTTTGGTGGCTCATCCCAGCACTTTGGGAGGCCAAGGTGAGTGGACTGCCTGAGCCTGCGGGTTCGAGACCCGCCCAGGCAACTTGATGAAACCTTGTCTCTACAATATATCAAAAATTAGCCGGGCATGGTAGCGCGCACCCGCAGTTGTGGCTACTTGGAGGGCTGAGCGGTCTTCTGACTATTCTAATAGATATTGGCTCTCATCTTGGCTTTAATGTGAGTTTTCCTCTTTTTTTTTTTTTTTTTTTGAGTTGGAGTCTCTGTTGCCCAGGCTGAATGCAGTGGCAAGCTCATGGCCCCACGGCCTCAACCTGCTGGGCTCCGGCGAGCCTTCTGCCTCAGCCTTCCAAGTAGCTGGAATCACAGATGTGTGCCACCATGCTCAGCTAATTTTTTGATTGATTGTAGAGATGAGATCTCGCCAAGTTGCCCAGGCTGGTCTCGAACCCGTGGGCTCAGACAATTCTCTCACCTCAGCCTCCCAAAGTGCTGGGATTATAGGCATGAGCCACCATGCCTGGCTTTTTTTTTTTTTTTTTTTTTAGTTGGAGTCTCACTCTTATCACCCAGGCTGGAGTGCAGTGGCACTCTCACAGCCATTGCCACCTCGACCTGCTGGGCTCAGGTGATCCTTCCACCCCAGCCTTCCAAGTAGCCAGAACTACAGATGCAAACCACCACGTCTGGCTAGTTTTCTTGTGATTTATTGTAGAGACGAGATATCGCTAAGTTGCCTGGGCTGGTCTTGAAACCACGGGCTCAGGCAATCCACTCACCTTGGTCTCCCAAAGTGTTGGAATTACAGGCTGAGCCACTGAGCCTGGCCAAGTTGCTCTCTTAATAGCTAACAATGTTGAATGTATTTTCACGTGTTTATGTGCCATATGTTTCATGTAGTTCACGTGTATTCTCTTTGGCGAAGTGTCTGTTCCTGTCTCTCGCCCGCTGGGTTGGCTGCTTTTTTTTTTTTCCTCTAAAGGAGCACTTCACGAATGTGCATGTCATCTTGTACAGGCGCTATGCTTGTCTTCTCTGTGGTGTTTCGGTTTTGGTAGATGTGCCACCAAGGCGAGCACTGTTTTGGAGTTCTTTCTTTATTCTGGACAGCAGCCCTTTGCCGGGGTCACGGTTTGCGATGCCCACCCCCGTTGGCGGACTGCCTCTGTGTCCACTCAGCTGGGCCTTCTGAAGCCCTGTCTTAGCCCCTCTTTCTCTCCTGCCCTTGGTGCTGGGTCTGTGCCCCTCCCCGCCTGGCCCCTGCATCCTGGGGTCTCTGCTGGCAGCAGCGTGGAGCCGGGCTTCCCCTGCTGCCTCGGACCCCTCCGCCTCCCTGCCTCCTGGGACCCGTCAGCCAAATCTGCTTCCGAAAATCCATGCCTTGGTCTTTCCAGAAGACTTTCTTACAACACGAGATGTTTTAATTAAACATAGTTTTTTCCTACAATGTTCTCTCTTGATGGTTATCCTAGAACAGGGAGAGAAGACACACTCCCACCAAAACACGCAGCAGCCTGGACGGCACCGAGTGGGTGAGCCCAGCCAGACCCCACGGGCTGCCTCCTGCCACCGCACATGCCGGGCTTCTCCCCGGGGCACAGACCTTCCCTGGCCTGAGCAGGTCACTTCCGCGTCTCCCCGCCGTTCCTCATGACTGTCGCTGACCAGCAGGCCGTTGGTCATGAAGGCCTACTCGGCGGCTCCTGGGAGAGCGGGATGGCTGCGTTCCCAATGATGAGCCCAGAGGTCGCGTGGATGGGTGGTTCCGTAGCTCAAGGCCACCACGAGGGCCCTGGTCCTCTCAGCATTCTGCTGTGCCACCTGGCCCAGGCGGCTTTTCCCTGGGGCTTGCTCAGAGCCGCTGCACAGCTCACGCTCGGACGGAGGAGGGAAGAGGACTCCCTGCCTCGGGCCCCTCCGGGATGAGCAAGCCCTTCCCGGGAGCCCCGAGCAGGCGTCTCCACACAGCCGGCACCCGATGTTGTGTCCGGCGTTCACCTAGCGCAGGCCCTGGCGCCAGGATGGA